GCATCTTTTAAGACGGGTGGACTTCAACTCCCAGAATTCCCCAGCCAGCCAGCATGAGGGTATTCTGGGAGTTGGTTCACACGACTTAAAAAGTTGCCAAGTCTGAGAAACACTGATTTAAACAGTGATTTCAGCGATTGTGGGTCGGGGCAAGATGAACCGGGGGGGGGGGGGATATTCCTAATTTTGATTCTTGGCTATTTAGAATGAGTTATCCCTCACACAGTCGTACCGGCAACGTGTGATACAGGGGGGAAAAACAGCACAAAAGTGTCCAGCTTCATGGGACGAAACTCCAGAGTAGAAACTCTTCTACTCATCGGGTAACTGCCATGCTAGATAGTTTCAAAGGTTTAACAAGTTTTTAAGAAGATAGAAAATGGCAAGACTCACCCAAGAAAATGAAGCTTGCTTTCTTATACCAGGAATTCCTTGTTTTTGAAGATAAAAGAGCTGAAATTTCTCTGGACCTACTGGCTGGGCCAAGGACCGGCTGAATAAATGCACGTTAGAGCCCTCCTACCCACTGACACAGGTAGTCCTTGACTTACGACGGTTTGCTTAGTGACCGTCACATGACTGAATGTGATTTGCGTTTGTGACCATCTGCAGTGTTCTGCGATCGTTTTATGCCGTCACAACATTTCCATCTAGTTTTCAGCAAAACTGGGTCCATCGTGAATCACGGGATCGCTTTATGACGGCTACGCTCGCTTACTGACCACGGTGGCCGCTTTTAGGACTGCTGTGTTCACTTAACGACCACTGGAAAAAAAAGGTGGTAAAATCAGGTCGGTCATGTGACCATTTTAGGACTGTCACGATTTACAACCGTGATGGGCAAGCTCCATTCTGGTCGTAAGTCTAAGACTACTTGTTAGTGAAATGTACGATTAGTTTGCCCCCCCCCAACTGAAAACTGTCATTTGGGGGCCAGATTTATGCCAATCTTGGAGAAAATGAGGCAAAAATCTGGAACCCTTTTTGGGACGATATCCAATCGGTTAGGAAATTTGCACGACACTTTAATGCCAAGGATGGTAGAGAATTTGGTCTGGTAGCAGAAGCAGCAGCAAAGGTGAGTCAAAAAAAAAAAAGGGAAATATTTGCAGCAGAACAGACAAACGAGTCCTTAAGATTTTAGGGCGAGATTTTGCTAGATATGTTGAGAAGCATCTCACATTCCCACCCGGTGTGCTTTTTTTTTTTTTCCTGTGGTAGTCCCCACAAGTCTGGAAAGGAAAGGGCACCAAGGTGGGGAAGGTCATCCCAGAGCAGGGGTGGGCAACTACGGCAACTTTACGCCCTGTGGACTTCAACTCCCAGAATTCCTGAGCCAGCATGGCTGGCTCAGGAATTCTGGGAGCTGAAGTCCACAGGGCATTAAAAAGCGGCCGTAATTGCCAACTCCGGGCCCAGGGCTTCAGCAGCTGCCGCAAGAGGAAAGACACGCATGCGGGCCATTTGGTTTCATGCCCCAAACCCAGAGGAATTTCAACACGGAGGATATGCAATCGAGAAGGGATCTGCCTTTAAAAAATATATATATATATTAAAATCTTTTGTATAGGACATAAGGAATCTCTTTGGAGATAGCAACTTCTGCAATGCGACACCCTGAATTTTGAAAATGGGGGAGCAAGGGGGGGGAGGAAGCTGGCTTAACCTTAAAGCTAACCAGGTCACCCTAGCCTGGTCCCGCCTCTGCCTACCTACCGGTTTTCCTGCCTTCGTAAGACGAGGCTGAAAGCCAGGAGATTCGGCCTGCCCTCTTGAGCAACTCGGCAAAGGGGAATAATAATAATAATAAAAAAAAACCCAGGAAGGCTGAAAGCAAAGAGATTAAGAATCAAAGTACCTTCAGTTGCCATGGATCAAAAAAGCAAAGAAGCTCAGAGGGTGCCTTAAAAAAACAAAAAAAAAACTCAAGAGCAAATGGAGAGGAATGCAAACTCAGTCCATAGTTTCCTGAAACTTACCAGGGAACGGAGAAGAGTAAATAATTGTGGTCCTCGACTTACGACCAAAATTGAGCCCAAAATTTCCATTGCTAAGCAAGAATAGCGGCCGGGTGAGTTTTGCTCCTTTTTACGTTCTTTCTTGCCCCACTTGTTAAATGAATCACTGCGGTTGTTAAGTGAGTAACGCGGTTGTTAAGTGAATAAGGCTTCCACACTGACGTTGCTGGTCAGGAGGTTGCAAAAGGGGATCACCTAATTCCCAGACATATCGAAACGGTCATAAATAGAGCCGGTTGCCAATCAGCTGAAATCTGATCGCGTGAGCACAGGGATTCTGCGGTGGGGAGAAGCGTGAAAAACGGTCCTTAAGCCACTTTTTTCAGAGCCGTTGTAACTTCAAACGGTCACTAAACGAATGGTTGTTAAGTCGAGGACTACCTGTGTAACCAGAAGGAAAATAGAAATACTGTCTTTGAGCTGAATTTCAGAGTGTTTCGCAACCTCCTCTTTTTTTGGCTAAGAATCGCCATTTCCAAACTGGGCTTATTAAAACCGCAGCTGATCCTTCCTTCGCTTAAGGCAGGGGTAGGCCACCTTGGCTCTTTTATGACTCGTGGACTTCAACTCCCAGAATTCCTGAGCCAGCCATGCGGAGGGGAAGGGAGAGGTTTCCAAGCTGAGCCATGCTGGCTCAGGAATTCTGGGAGTTGAAGTCCACAAGTCATAAAAGAGCCAAAGTTGCCTACCCTTGCCTTAAGGCAGTGATGGCGAACCTTTTAGAGACTGAGTGCCCAAACTGCAACCCAGAACCCACTTATGTATCGTCGTGTGCTAGGTGGGCGTGGTGCATTTTGTGTGTGTGGCCCATTGGGTGTGTGTGGCCCATTGGCTGGGCATGGCTGTGGTGGTAACAGCAGCCTGGGTGGGACTAAAACGTTCAATCAATCAATTCCAACTTTGCGAGATCTTTTTTTTGCCCGTGAGAAGTTGAAATTGATTGATTGAATCTTTTTTTTTATTTTGCACACGGCGGCGGAGGCCTAAAGCGAAAAGGTTTTATAAAACCCAGCTGAAGGCCTAGGACTGGGGCAACGGCGCACGTGCCCACAGAGAGGGCTCTGCATGCCACCTGTGGCACGCGTGCCATAGGTTCGCCACCACGGCCTTAAGGGCGCAGCGTTAAGCTCTGTGATTCTGGCACCCTGACAGCCTGCTTTTAATAAAAACCAAAGGCATTTTTAAAAGGGGCTACATAACATGCACAAAGCACACACTATCTCCAGCCCTGCCCTCGAAACCCAAAACGTCAGGACTGCAGGAAGAGGCGCATGGGAAAGGGAGAGGAGGAAGGCCACGGTGTCCCTCAGCTCCAGATTTGGTTTATAAAAACTTTGCCTCCCACAATAAATACATGGCGCATTAAAATCTGCCTTGTTTTTTTGAGAATCACAAGCTTTCAAGGTCCGCCAGCCCTACAGACCAGTAAAGCAGTCCTTGACTTACGACCACAATCAGGACCGGGACACCCATCCCTAAGCAAAGAGGTTATGAAGTGAGTCACCCCTGATTTTACAACCCTTTTTTGCTGGGGTCGTTAAGCGAACCCAGCTTCCCCCATTGACCCGTGCTTGTTGGAAGTCGGCTGCTCAGGTTACAACGTGTGACAGCGTTGTAGATACGTGCCGGTGGCCCGGCACCCGAATGGCAAACACGTGACCGAAGGGACCCTGCGACGGTCGTTGAATGCGAGGATGGCTCGGGGGTTTTTTTTAGCACCCTCGTAACTTCAAAGCGTCGCTAAACGAACGGTCGTTAAGTTGAGGACCGCCTGCGGCTGAGAATCTACAGATAACCCGATTGTGCAACGTTCTCCATTTGTGCAAAAAATAAAACCAGGGATTTTGAGAAAGTTTTTCCCTCCCTCCTTTGGACTGTCACTTGAATTGGACCTTCTTTTGACAAACCTGGTAGAATGAACATACGTGTGGGTATCTATCTGTGTGTGTGTGTGTGTGTGTGTGTGTGTATGACTTCTGAGCATACATATATACATATATATATATATGCTCATAAATATATACACACATTCGAATTTCTTTTTTTGTTGACAAAGAATTAAAGAGTCAAATGGGAGACTAGGATGGCCATTTCGAGCTCATTTTGCTCTCATCAGCTAGCCATACCCTTTATGGGATTCGAACACACACACATATACATATACAGGTAGTCCTCGACTTACGAGCACGACTCAGCCCAAAATTTATGTGGCTAAATGAGACATGTTTAAGTGAGTTTTGCCCCCGTTTTCAACCTTTCTTGCTTCTGTTGTTAAGTGAATCACTGCAGTTGTTGAGTTAGTAGCACGGTTGTTAAGTGAATCTGGCTTCCCCCATGGACTTTGCTCGTCAGAAGGTCGCAAAACGGGATCACGTGACCCCGGGGACGCTGCCACCGTCGTAAACATGAGTTAGTTGCCAAGCATTCTGGATTCTGATCACGTGACCCTGGGGATGCTGCAACGGTCGTAAGTTTGAAAAAGGGTCATAAGCCACTTTCTTTCAGGGCCGTCGTAACTTCGAACAGCCACTAAGTCGAGGACTACCTGTATTCATACGTTCATTCTACGATTCTCATTTTCCAGACTCAGTAGTTTTTTGGGTTGGGTAGCCCAGAAAGACAAGCTTGGTGCCGAGAAGCGGCAGGCGGATGAAGAAGCTGGCAAGCAGCCATTATTATTTTTTTAAAGTGCCCGATCCTCCCCCCCCCCGGTATTTCGGCCTTATTGCCCTTCCCTCTTCCACTTATCCTCTCCCACAAGTCCACTTGGTACAGCTCTCTCTCTCTCTGTACAGGCATATCAAAAATTAGTACAGGCTTGACTGTATATTATATATAAATAAAACTTTGTTTCTGTTAAGGAGAGTTCCCGCCGCCCACCCCTTTGGAAGTGGTCCGTTCCAACCCAGGATTAAAAACAACCCGCCCCCCCCTTCCCGGCCCAGTGTAAAAAAAAAAAGAGCCTCTCTCCCCCCCCCCAACTCAGCTGGCGTCGTAGAGGTTGGAGAGGGGTCCGCTGAACTGGATGACGCTCTGGCGCTCCTGCTCGCTGCTCTCGGCCCCCAAACCGTGGGGGTTCAGCATCATCTCCTCCAAGAGCTCGCGGAAGTTCAGACTGGCCGGGGAGAAGCTGTCCGCCAGGGGGAGTGGTAGGGTTAGGGCCGGCGTCGGGGGCAAAGGTTCGTGCTGAGAGGGGGAGCCGCTGAGTGCCAGGCCGCCCACCAGCGCTGCCGTGTCGTAGGGCGCGTGGAAGCCGAACTGGGCGGGGGCAGCGGGGAGCGATGGGAGCAGCGCAGGAGGAGGCGGAGGAGGAGGAGGAGATGGGTCTGTCCAGAAGTCACTAAGACCTTCCCCGGGCGGGCTGTTGGTCAGATCCCAGACCTCGTCCTGCGGCAAGGAAGGATGCTGGGCAGGGATAAATCCTGCGGACTGGCTGAGGTCCAGCGGTGGGATGAGCTGTGGGTAGGGCTGGCTGGGCATCACGGGGGCCAACAGGGCCTGCATCTGCTTCTGTTTCTGTTTGATGTTCTCGTCCATCTGCTTCAACTCCTTCAGCACCTGGTGGACGCAGTTCTCCGGGATCTTGATCCCTGCAGAAGGGAGAAAAACATAGCGAGTCAAACTTTTGGAAGGAGGCGAGACTCTCAAGCCCCACTCGCCCTCCCTCCGGAGGCCCCAACCAGAGGACATAACCGTGGCTTAGACTCCTGTGACCGTGACAGGACGCTGAGACTCCCGGTATCTGGGTTACAGAGAAAGGAAGGGAAGCGAGGCGGTCAGCGAGGAACGAGGGGAGACCATGGGAAATCACTAAGTACGGGTTAAGTCCTCGACTTACAAGCCTGGCTGGCTGAGGAATTCTGCGAGTTGAAGTCCACAAGTCTTAAAAGTGGCCACGTTTGGAGACCCCTGCACTAAATGAATGCTTGTACGTGGAAGACTACCTGTACTGCAATTAAAATCCTTAAGAAAAGTTATACACCCCGCCACTCTCAAAATGTACTACTTACACTTCTGGATAGGAACTTGAGTGTTCCTCTGGGGGAATGGCAGAATTTTGGAAACTGTCACATTTATGTTAATAATAATAATAATAATAAAGTTGGAAGGGACCTTGGAGGTCACCTAGTCCAACCCCCTGCTCAGGCAGGAAACCCTATACCATTTCAGACAAATGGCTGTCCAGTCTCTTCTTAAAAACTTTCAGTGTTGGAGCATTCACCACTTCTGGAGGCAGGTGGTTCCACTGGTTAATTGTTCTGTCAGGATGTTTCTCCTTAATTCTAGGTTGCTTCTCTCCTTGATTAGTTTCCACCCGTTGCTTCTTGTCCTGCCTTCAGGCGCCTTGGAGAATAGCTTGACTCCCTCTTCTTTGGGGCAGCCCCTGAGATACTGGAACACTGCTATCATGTCACCCCTTGTCCTTCTCTTCATTAAACTAGACATACCCAATTCCAGCAACCGTTCCTTATATATTTTAGCCTCCAGTCCCCTGATCATCTTTGTTGCTCTTCTCTGTACTCTTTCTAGAGTCTCAGCATCTTTTTTACATCGTGGTGACCAAAACTGGATGCAGGATTCCAAGTGTGGCCTTACCAAGGCGTTGTAAAGTGGTATTAACACTTCAAGTGATCTTGATTCTATCCCTCTGTTGATGTTATTAATGGCAGAGATTTCTTTGAATACCTTGGAACCCTCTGGCCCAGCTGAGTGGCTGGCTATGAGTTGAGTTCATGGGGGTTGTTTTTTTGGCTATTTATGGCTGCTCTCTTTCCCATCCCTTTCTCTGCCTGCCCACCGTCTGCCACCAGGTTTCCGCGGCCTTAGGAGAACAGCTTGAGTTTGCCACTCACCAACTTGCTTCTTCTTCTCTTTGGTCTTGAGGCGGACGATCTGCAGGTAGCTGGTGTTGGTGATATTAGCCATGATGCCAGCGATTTTGGTCCAGACCCGCAAGAGGGCCCCGCAGAGCATGTAATAGTGGCGTAAACGTGTTCCTTGGAAACATTCCTTTCCCTCCTGGACAACCTTGCAGTTCCTGTTCCTGTGGGCGTTTGTTAATAGGGAGGGTTGGGGAGGGGAGGGGAGGGGGGAGAAGAAAATGAAGAAGAGGAGCACAAGAAAGAAAACACACACTGTCAGGCGCGAAAGGCCAGGTCCACACCTGAAGGTTAAATTAAATTAAACCGAAGTGTGGCTATAGCCTTTGCACAAGAATCTTCTCAACTCACAGCTGACACCTGCTTAGAGTTAAGATAAGCGTCAACGGCACTCAAGGGGTTCACTGGTGGCTATGCAGGGATTCTAGGCTGCTTCCTCTTTTCACCCTTCTCTCCCTCATCATGCCGCTAGGCTGCACAGGTGGCTGAATCAAAAAAAGACGCCACTTTCTTCCAGGTGGCCCAGCAACGAAGGCCCGCTCACCTTCCCGTCCTTCACCTCTTGAGCTCTGCAGATCATCGCAAGGTAAATGAGCGGTTGTGAAGGGCAGAGGAGGCCGAAGTGGCCGAGGGGACCCCCAAGGGGTGGGAAGTGGGGTGTGGGTCACCTCAGGGGATGGAGCAGCGATGGCAAACCTTTTAGAGACCGAGTGCCCAAACTGCAACCCAAAACCCACTTATTTATCGCCGGGTGGCCCACTGGGTGGGCATGGCTGTGGTGGTCATGGCAGACTGGGTGGGTGTGGCCAAGGTGGGCATGGTCACCTCGATGTTGCTTGTGGGGAGGGACGCCTGTGAGGGCCGGGCAGGGTTGGGGGAGATCCAGGGGGTCTCTGGTGGGTGGGGCGGTGGGCAGGAGGCTCATCCTGTGGGGTGAGGTGAGGCGAGGCGAGGCGAGGCAGGGGCCATGGTGGTTGCTGCCTGACACCATCGGCCCCCGTACATAGAGGCCAGCGAGCGCATGGGGGCCGACAGTGTCCGTCAGCAGCCACAGCCTGCCAGCCCCTCGATCAGTGCACTCTGGGGCTCTGCAGCCCGCCGCCAGCAGTTCAGAGAAGACGCCTCTGAGCTGGACAGTCGACCGACAGCTGAGGAGGCGATACAGTGGGTCGTGCCCAGGAAAAAAAGAGCATGCAAGGCCTGGAGGGATGGGACGAGGGGGAGGGGAACCAGCCATGCTGGGATGCATCCGGCCACGTGGGACCTCGGCGAGTTAGCGGGTGGCTGGTTGAAGAGGGACGGTTGCCATCTCTGGGGCATGGCGCGCGTGCCCACTGAGAGGGCTCTAAGTGCCGCCTCTGGCACGCGTGCCATAGGTTCGCCATCACTGGGATGGAGAGAGGCCTTGGGAAGTCCAAGGCACACATCCCGGAGGCAGCCCATGCACTCTTAACAATCCACGTATTCAGTTAATGAATGCATTGGGGAAAGGAGGGATGGAGGGGGTCATCAATGACGTGCTTATCTCAACTTCCCACAGTAATGGGCAGGCTGCATTACTGTCATAATGTGAGGAGTTCCTGTACATGCCAGTTTCCAAGCAGCCTATTTTGGTCATGGGACCGCAGGGACACTGGCGGTCTAAGTCACTTTTTTTGGCACTATTGTTAATTTTGAACGGTTATTAAGTAAAGGGTCAGAAATTGAGGAATATCTGTAAAAAATACCCATCAGAAGGGCATCCACCCCCGTGTAGCAATCTAGCAACATGCATTTATGTGCATCTTCCTTGTTGTCTCTCTCAGAAACCAGAAATGCCTTCCGCTTTATCAATGCTTCTGTGTCTGGAGCAGCACTGGCAGGTGACTTACCATACAGCGTGGTTGCAGTGTTTCAGGGAGAAATCGTAACTGCTCTCCCAGTGGGGCTGAGCGTCTCCTGGCGACACCTGCGTGAAAGACCAGCAAGAAGGAACCGTCAAGGGAAGGCAGAGGAAAAAATCTGGATCTGCAGTCACAACCCCCACGGCTGCAGGCTGGGCCTTACCGGCTGGTACTTCTTGAAAAGGCTGTCCATGGCCTCCAGCTGGCTCTGCTTCCCGATGTTCGGCTTGTAGAGGGTGAAGTATTTCCCACGGGTCTGTTCCGCTAAGAGGCAAATGTATTTGTTGCCTCGGACCTGCAGGGAGCACAGGGCCCGTAGTTAGTTTAGGGGGTGGGGAGAGAGAGAGTGGAGCTCCACAAAACAAGGTATTGCAGATTAGGAACCGGGCGAATGACCTCAACACGTGGACAATGAGGTCCTTAAAAAGCTGGCATTGATCAGGTAACAGGCAACCGAGAGCAATTCCAAAGCGGAATCACCACACAATCCAAAGTAACTTGAACAGTGAGTTTGTGGTGGAATCTCCAGCGAGAGTGGAGGGAGGTGTTAAGAGGGGGTCAAGCTTAGAGTCCTTGCGCTGCAGAAAATGGCATGGGCTTAGACCTTCCCCACAATTCCTGAAGTCTCTGTCATGCTTCCGACTAACGAAACACTTCAAAGAACTTCCAGGCATTGTTTATCCTAAAAAGTCTTTAATCGTGAAACAAAGTGTCGGCACGGCATGGTGGAGGGCAAGATCTGAATTCCCCTCCCCTGAGCACATAATATTCCAGCATATTTCCCTCCTCTAATTTGCAATCATAAATCAGGTTCTCCAATTAATTTGAAGGGCAAAGTTTCCCTTCCCTTCTGTAGCCTGCGGTTTCTTATCTTAACTAATCCCCACACGCATTCTTTCTCCTCCCCTCCCGGCATCATCTAATTTAACTCTAAAAATACCACACAGCTTATACAGAGAGTGGCTGCCTCTTCATATTTTGTCAAAGCAAGAACATCCAATGTTAGCAGCGCTGATAATCTCATCTGACTGTTCCCAAGAGACAGGATTGTCTGGCGAGATTCTTGTAACGTAGGTGGCTAACAATAAAACTTCTGGCTGAGGCTATTCACCAGTGGTTCTGGCTGCTTGCCCCCGACAGAGTTCAGCTCTTGGCGATGGGCAGGGTCAAGGAACAGAGTTTGTTGGGCGCTTAATAACACGAGCAGTGCAAGGGAGAAAGGAAACTCCACTTTCTCTCTCTCACAATGATAGTGTTACCTAGGCTGGTCATGAAACACCTGCAGGAAAACAATCAAGGTCAAATAACACCAAGGACCCAACAGCTCAACCCTGAGCTCTATAAATTCTCTGCGGTTGGAGCAACGTTTTGTTTATTTGATTTATTTGTATCCCCCTTTTTATTATTTTTACAAATAACTCAAGGCAACGAACATATCCAACAAACTTTCCTCCTCCTATTTTCCTCACAACAACAAGACTGTGAGGTGGGTTGCGCTGAGAAAGAGAGACTGGCCCAACGTCACCCAGTGAGCTTTCATGTCTAAGGCGGGACTAGAACTCATAGTCTCCTGGTGATTGGCCCAACGTCACCCAGTGAGCTTTCATGCCGAAGGCGGGACTAGAACGCACAGTCTCCTGGTGATTGGCCCAACGTCACCCAGTTGGCTTTCATGCCGAAGGTGGGACTAGAACTCACTGTCTCCTGGTGACTGGCCCAATGTCACCTAGTGAGCTTTCATACCTAAGACAGGATTAGAACTCACAGTCTCCTGGTGATTGGCCCAACGTCACCCAGTGAGCTTTCATGCCGAAGGCGGGACTAGAACTCACTGTCTCCTGGTGACTGGCCCAACGTCACCCAGTTGGCTTTCATGCCTAAGGCGGGACTAGAACTCACAGTCTCCTGGTGATTGGCCCAACGTCACCCAGTGAGCTTTCATACCTCAGGCGGGATTAGAATTCAGTCTCCTGGTGATTGGCCCAAAGTCACCCAGTTGGCTTTCATGCCTAAGGCGCGACTAGAATTCAGTCTCCTGGTGATTGGCCCAACGTCACCCAGTGAGCTTTCATGCCTAAGGCGGGACTAGAAATCACAGTCTCCTGGTGATTGGCCCAGTGTCACACAGTGAGCTTTCATACCTAAGGCGGGATTAGAACTCACAGTCTCCTGGTGATTGGCCCAACGTCACCCAGTGAGCTTCCATGCCTAAGGCAGGACTAGAACTCATGATTTCCCACTTTCTGGTCTGGGTGGGACTAGACCACTAGACCAAACTGAATCTAAGCAAGTTTTAAACAACTTTTGCTGCATTTTCGATGCTTGTTTTATGATATATTTGTTTTGTACTAAGTCCCCTCCATCTGCTGAGGAAGAGGCAATCTCCGTCTACTCCAAAGGTTTGGGCCATCAATTTCAGCCAGTTAGAACCAAGGATTCTGGAAACTGTACTTCAAAGCACGTGATGGACACCGTGTAATCTATTTCTGCCTTAGTTCCCTTACAAGAGAACTTGGACTGGGAGTAAACAGTTGTGAGCTGCTGTTGACGCAAACGGAACTGCTGGCGGCTGAATGAATGAATGAATGAATGAATTTGAATTGAACAGAATATTTGCCAGAATAATCTCCTCCACCTCCTCAAAGCCCTTTAGCAGAATAACTAAAAAGGATGATTTTCACTTCCGATGAAGATGCTTGCCAACCTCTCCCCTTGTGGAAAAACTTTTATCACCCCCAAATTTCCACCAGACCCCCCCCCCCACCACTCCATTCCCACCAATTTTGCTTACCTTGTGGGACAGGTAGAACCCATCATTAGGGCCCGTCAGGTGAAGCGACTTCTCGTAGACCTCCTCCCACTTCAAGCCTCTGTCCACGCTAATCTAAAGGTGGGACAGAAATAAGCAAAGAAGCTAAATGTCTACGGAGATTCTCAGTCATAGTTATCCCAAAGGTGCTTTTTTTTCAGGAGGCAACTGGACTTTCTTGTTTTTCCCTTGAAGACGTTTCGCTTCTCATCCAAGAAGCTTCTTCAGCTCTGACTGGCTAATAATAATAACAACAACAACAACAACAAAAATAATAAAGTTGGAGGTCATCTAGTCCAACCCCCTGCTCAGGCAGGAAACCCTATACCAAATGGCTGTCCAGTTTCTTCTTAAAAACTTCCAATGTTGGAGCATTCACCGCTTCTGGAGGCAGGTTGTTCCACTGGTTAATTGTTCTAACTGTCAGGAAGTTTCTCCTTAGTTCTAGGTTGCTTCTCTCCTTGATTAGTTTCCATCCGTTGCTTCTTGTCCTTCCCTCTGGTGCTTTGGAGAATAGCTTGACTCCCTCTTCTTTGGGGCAGCCCCTGAGACACTGGAACACCGCTATCATGTCCCCCATTGTCCTTCTCTTCATTAAACTGGACATACCCAATTCCAGCAACCGTTCCTTATATATTTTAGCCTCCAGTCCCCTGATCATCTTTGTTGCTCTTCTCTGCACTCTTTCTAGAGTCTCAACATCTTTTTTACATCATGGTGACCAAAACTGGATGCCGCATTCCAAGTGTGGCCTTCCCAAGGCATTGTAAAGTGGTGTTAACACTTCACGTGATCTTGATTCTATCCTTAGTTCCAGTACATAAGATTTGTATGTAGAACAGTGTTTCTCAACCTTAGCAACTCTAAGATGTGTGGACTTCAACTCCCAGAATTCTGGGAGTTGAAGTCCACACATCTTAAGAGTTGCTGTCAACATCCAGCTCGAGAATCCGAGTAAAACTCCAGCAAGTAATTCCGTTTCTGAAAATCTTACGTTTTATTGTGTGGTTATGTCGAAGCAAAACTAACTCTGAGGTTCCCACACCAATTCGTAGACTTAAGCCATAGTTTTCCCAGCCAAAACCACAAGGCCTTACATAATCCATATCAACAAGTCCACTTTGTTATGGGAACCATCTGCTTCAAAGCCACACCTGTTCTGTTGCCCTTGAGAAGGCTTCAGGCTCCCACAGTCGGCAGCTGAATCAAAGAAGCTTCGTTTCTCCATCTACCCACTTCAAAGTAACACCTCCCCTCCCACTATCTAAAGGCAAGTTGAAACACAGAGACGTGTAGCTGCCAACAGTTTCATCCTTGGCAGTTGCTAAGGTTGAGAAACACTGATGGAGAAGATTGCAGATCCAATGCATCTCCGGGCAANGCGAGAGGTGACGAGAGCATGAGTGACTGTGCGCAAGGCGTCCCGGTCCAGAAAAGGTCGCAACTGGTGAATCAGGCGGACCTGATAAAACGCCCCCCTGGTCACGGCCGACAAATGGTCTTCCAATGTCAGCCGTGGATCCAGGAGGACTCCCAAGTTGCGGGCCCTCTCTGAGGGGGCCAAAATTTCGCCCCCTATAAGCGATGGGGTCAGCTGACTATGCCGAGGCGCCGGCAGCCACAGCCACTCAGTCTTGGAAGGGTTGAGCCTGAGTCTGTTCCTCCCCATCCAGACCCGTACGGCCTCCAGGCAACGGGTCATCACGTCAAGGATGGAGAGAGGCCTTGGGATGGAGAGAGGCCTTGGGATGGAGAGAGGCCTTGGGAAGTCCAAGGCACACATCCCGGAGGCAGCCCATGCACTCTTAACAATCCACGTATTCAGTTAATGAATGCATTGGGGAAAGGAGGGATGGAGGGGGTCATCAATGATGTGCTTATCTCAACTTCCCACAGTAATGGGCAGGCTGCATTACTGTCATAATGTGAGGAGTTCCTGTACATGCCAGTTTCCAAGCAGCCTATTTTGGTCATGGGACCGCAAGGACATTGGTGGTCTAAGTCACTTTTTTCGGCACTATTGTTAATTTTGAACGGTTATTAAGTAAAGGGTCAGAAATTGAGGAATATCTGTAAAAAATACCCATCAGAAGGGCATCCACCCCCGTGTAGCAATCTAGCAACATGCACTTATGCGGTCTTCTTCGTTGTCTCTCTCAGAAACCAGAAATGCCTTCTGCTTTCTCAATGCTTCTGTGTCTGGAGCAGCACCGGAAGGTGACTTACCATACAGCATGGTTGCAGTGTTTCAGGGAGAAATCGTAACTGCTCTCCCAGTGGGGCTGAGCGTCTCCTGGCGACACCTGCGTGAAAGACCAGCAAGAAGGAACCGTCAAGGGAAGGCAGAGGAAAAAATCTGGATCTGCAGTCACAACCCCCACGGCTGCAGGCTGGGCCTTACCGGCTGGTACTTCTTGAAAAGGCTGTCCATGGCCTCCAGCTGACTCTGCTTCCCGATGTTCGGCTTGTAGAGGGTGAAGTATTTCCCACGGGTCTGTTCCGCTAAGAGGCAAATGTATTTGTTGCCTCGGACCTGCAGGGAGCACAGGGCCCGTAGTTAGTTTAGGGGGTGGGGAGAGAGAGAGTGGAGCTCCACAAAACAAGGTATTGCAGATTAGGAACCGGGCGAATGACCTCAACACGTGGACAATGAGGTCCTTAAAAAGCTGGCATTGATCAGGTAACAGGCAACCGAGAGCAATTCCAAAGCGGAATCACCACACAATCCAAAGTAACTTGAACAGCGAGCTTGTGGTGGAATCTCCAGCGAGAGTGGAGGGAGGTGTTAAGAGGGGGTCAAGCTTAGAGTCCTTGCGCTGCAGAAAATGGCATGGGCTTAGACCTTCCCCACAATTCCTGAAGTCTCTGTCATGCCTCCGAAGAAACATTTCAAAGAACTTCCAGGCATTGTTTATCCTAAAAAGTCTTTAATCGTGAAACAAAGTGTCGGCAGGGCATGGTGGAGGGCAAGATCTGAATTCCCCTCCCCTGAGCACATAATATTCCAGCATATTTCCCTCCTCTAATTTGCAGTCATAAATCACGCTCTCCAATTAATTTGAAGGGCAAAGTTTCCCTTCCCTTCTGTAGCCTGCGGTTTCTTATCTTAACTAATCCCCACACACATTCTTTCTCCTCCCCTCCCGGCATCATCTAATTTAACTCTAAAAATACCACACAGCTTATACAGAGAGTGGCTGCCTCTTCATATTTTGTCAAAGCAAGAACATCCAATGTGAGCAGCGCTGACAATCTCATCTGACTGTTCCCAAGAGACAGGATTGTCTGGCGAGATTCTTGTAACGTAGGTGGCTAACAATAAAACTTCTGGCTGAGGCTATTCACCAGTGGTTCTGGCTGCTTGCCCCTAACAGAGTACAGCTCTTGGCGATGGGCAGGGTCAAGGAACAGAGTTTGTTGGGTGCTTAATAACACGACCAGTGCAAGGGAGAAAGGAAACTCCACTTTCTCTCTCTCACAATGATGGTGTTACCTAGGCTGGTCATGAAACACCTGCAGGAAAACAATCAAGGTCAAATAACACCAAGGACCCAACAGCTCAACCCTGAGCTCTATATATTCTCTGCTGTTGAAGCGACGTTTTGTTTATTTTATTTATTTGTATCCCACTTTTTATTATTTTTACAAATAACTCAAGGCAACGAACATATCCAACAAACTTTCCTCCTCCTATTTTCCTCACAACAACAAGACTGTGAGGTGGGTTGCGCTGAGAAAGAGAGACTGGCCCAACATCACGCAGTGAGCTTTCATACCTAAGGCAGGACTAGAACTCACAGTCTCCTGGTGACTGGCCCAACGTCACACAGTGAGCTTTCATGCCTAAGGCGGGACTAGAACTCACAGTCTCCTGGTGATTGGCCCAACGTCACCCAGTGAGCTTTCATGCCTAAGGCGGGACTAGAACACATAGTCTCCTGGTGATTGGCCCAACGTCACCCAGTGAGCTTTCATGCCTAAGGCGGGACTAGAACTCACAGTCTCCTGGTGATTGGCCCAATGTCACCCAGTGAGCTTTCATACCTAAGACGAGATTAGAACTCACAGTCTCCTGGTGATTGGCCCAACGTCACACAGTGAGCTTTCATACCTAAGGCAGGATTAGAACTCACAGTCTCCTGGTGATTGGCCCAAAGTCACCCAGTAAGCTTTCATGCCTAAGGCGGGACTAGAACACACAGTCTCCTGGTGATTGGCCCAACGTCACACAGTGAGCTTTCATACCTAAGGCAGGATTAGAACTCACAGTCTCCTGATGATTGGCCCAACGTCACCCAGTGAGCTTTCAGGACTAGAACTCATGATTTCCCACTTTCTGGCCTGGGTGGGACTAGACCACTAGACCAAACTGAATCTAAGCAAGTTTTAAACAACTTTTGCTGCATTTTCGATGCTTGTTTTATGATATATTTGTTTTGTACTAAGTCCCCTCCATCTGCTGAGGAAGAGGCAATCTCCGTCTACTCCAAAGGTTTGGGCCATCAATTTCAGCCAGTTAGAACCAAGGATTCTGGAAACTGTACTTCAAAGCACGTGATGGACACCGTGTAATCTATTTCTGCCTTAGTTCCCTTACAAGAGAACTTGGACTGGGAGTAAACAGTTGTGAGCTGCTGCTGACGCAAACGGAACTGCTGGCGGCTGAATGAATGAATGAATGAATTTGAATTGAACGGAATATTTGCCAGAATAATCTCCTCCACCTCCTCAAAGCCCTTTAGCAGAATAACTAAAAAGGATGATTTTCACTTCCGATGAAGATGCTCGCCAACCTCTCCCCTTGTGGAAAAACTTTTATCACCCCCAAATTTCCATCAGACCCCCCCCACACCACTCCATCCCCACCAATTTTGCTTACCTTGTGGGACAGGTAGAACCCATCATTAGGGCCCGTCAGGTGAAGCGACTTCTCATAGACCTCCTCCCATTTCAAGCCTCTGTCCACGCTAATCTAAAGGTGGGACAGAAATAAGCAAAGAAGCTAAATGTCATTCTAAATGCTTTTTTCAGGAGGCAACTGGACTTTCTTGTTTTTCCCTTGAAGACGTTTCACTTCTCATCCAAGAAGCTTCTTCAGCTCTGACTGGATAATAATAACAACAACAACAAAAATAATAAAGTTGGAAGGGACCTTGGAGGTCATCTAGTCCAACCCCCTGCTTAGGCAGGAAACCCTATACCAAACAGCTGTCCAGTTTCTTCTTAAAAACTTCCAGTGTTGGAGCATTCACCGCTTCTGGAGGCAAGGCTGTTCCACTGGTTAATTGTTCTCACTGTCAGGAAGTTTCTCCTTAGTTCTAGGTTGCTTCTCTCCTTGATCAGTTTCCATCCGTTGCTTCTTGTCCTGCCCTCAGGCGCTTTGGAGAATAGCTTGACTCCCTCTTCTTTGGGGCAGCCCCTAAGATATTGGAACAGTGCTATCATGTCCCCCCTCGTCCTTCTCTTCATTAGACTAGACATTCCCAATTCCAGCAGCCGTTCCTTATATGTTTTAGCCTCCAGTCCCCTAATCATCTTTGTTGATCTTCTCTGCACTCTTTCTAGAGTCTCAACATCTTTTTTACATCGTGGTGACCAAAACTGGATGCAGCATTCCAAGTGTGGCCTTACCAAGGCATTGTAAAGTGGTATGAACACTTCATGTGATCTTGATTCTATCTTTCTGTTAATGCAGCCTAGCACTGTGTTGGCTTTTTTGGCAGCTGCAGCACACAGATGGCTCATATTTAAGTGATTGTCCTCTAGGACAATCCAAGAAGTTTCTTCAGCTCTGACAGGATGGTGGGGAATGGGTTTATTATTCCTTATATATGCAAGGAATATAAATCCATTGCCTCCTGGAAAAAGCACCTTTGGGATAAGCAAAAAAGCTGTTTGAGTACAGGTAGTCTTTGATGACTCGTGACCATTAGCTTAGCAAAATTACAACTGCACTGAAAAAAATGACTTATGACTGGTCATCACACTTACAACCGCGGCGCCGCCCCCCCCCCCAGTCATATGATCAAAATTCGGGCGCTTGGCAACCAGCCTGTAATTATGATAGTTGCAGCGTCCCAGGGTCATGTGATTGCCAAGAAAGTTTAGAACAATTATGAGAGATCTATGAAGTTCAAAATATTTTGCCACTAGTGGCATCTTACTGAAAGTAGTAATAGTAGTAGTAGTAGTAATAATGATGATGATGATGATGATGTTGGAAGGGACTTTGGAGGTCATCTAGTCCAACCCTCTGCTCAGGCAGGAAACCCTATACCATTTCAGACAAATGGCTGTCCAGTCTCTTCTTAAAAACTTCCAGTGTTGGAGCATTCACCGCTTCTGGAGGCAGGTGGTTCCACTGGTTAATTGTTCTAACTGTCAGGAAGTTTCTCCTTAGTTCCAGATTGCTTCTCTCCTTGATTAGTTTCCATCCGTTGCTTCTTGTCCTGCCTTCAGGTGCTTTGGAGAATAGCTTGACTCCCTCTTCTTTGGGGCAGCCCCTGAGATACTGGAACACTGCTATCATGTCCCCCCTCGTCCTTCTCTTCATTAAACTAGACATACCCAATTCCAGCAGCCGTTCCTCATATGTTTTAGCCTCCAGTCCCCTAAAAAATCATCTTTGTTGCTCTTCTCTGCACTCTTTCTAGAGTCTCAACATCTTTTTTACATCGTGGTGACTAAAACTGGATGCAGTATTCCAAGTGTGGCCTTCCCAAGGCATTGTAAAGTGGTGTTAACACTTCACGTGATCTTGATTCTATCCTTAGTTCCAGTACATAAGATTTGTATGTAGAACAGTGTTTCTCAACCTTAGCAACTCTAAGATGCATGGACTTCAACTCCCAGAATTCTGGGAGTTGAAGTCCACAGATCTTAAGAGTCGCTGTCAACATCCAGCTCGAGAATCCGAATAAAACTCCAGCAAGTAATTCCGTTTCTGAAAATCTTACGTTTTATTGTGTGGTTATGTCGAAGCAAAACTAACTCTGAGGTTCCCACACCAATTCGTAGACTTAAGGCATAGTTTTCCCAGCCAAAACCACAAGGCCTTACCTAATCCATATCAACAAGTCCACTTTGTTATGGGAACCATCTGCTTCAAAGCCACACCTGTTCTGTTGCCCTTGAGAAGGCTTTAGGCTCCCACAGTCGGCAGCTGAATCAAAGAAGCTTCGTTTCTCCATCTACCCACTTCAAAGTAACACCTCCCCTCCCACTATCTAAAGGCAAGTTGAAACACAGAGACGTGTAGCTGCCAACAGTTTCATCCTTGGCAGTTGCTAAGGTTGAGAAACACTGATGGAGAAGATTGCAGATCCAATGCATCTCCGGGCAAAGCTAGGAAAATTCCGGTCCGAGGCTTATAAGAAGCAGCAAGTCAGAAGAAGCCGAGGCGGACCACCACCAAAGAGAGGTTTATAAATCCTCTTGCAGTGTCTTACCTTGTAAAAGACCACCTGGCCATCTTGTGGGTGGCCTGGCGTTAGGAAAACCTCTTTGCTCTCCTCGTAGATTTCATCAATGCCGGGAGCCAAGTCTGAGGAACAGAGAAGGCAGTGAGAATTGGGTAGGGGTGATAACCTCAGGTTGGACGGGAACTCAGAAAAAACATGCGGATGGAAATCTCTCCAAATTTTTCTCTCCCTTTCCCTCGACATGCCCACATTATGATCACTGTTGCATCTCCCCCTTCGTCTCCCAGTCTCGTGTTATGTTGGCGGGGCCGCAAAATGAAAAAGAAATGGAGGATCCACCCCTTTTACAAAGTTGCCGACTGGCGTAAACATCACAGAATGGCCAAGGTTGAGTTATAACAATGACTAGGTGCTAGCCAAGAAATCAGGAGACTGTGAGCTCTAGTCCCTGCCTTAGACATGAAAGCCAGCTGGGTGACTTTGAGCCAATCACCAGGAGACTGGGAGTTCTAGTTCTGCCTTGGGCATGAAAGCCAGCTGGGTGACTCTGGACCAATCACTTTCTCTCAGCCCAACCCACCTCACAGGGTTGTTGTTGTGGGGAAAATAGGAGGAGGAGAGAGCATTAGGCATGTCCACCACCTTGAGTTACATAAAAGTAATAAAGACGGGATAGAAATCTAATAATATTTCCCTGACCATCCCACTGTCCTGCATTATTGGGACCATCTATGGCAGTGGTGGCGAACCTTTTAGAGACCGAGTGCCCAAACTGCAACCCAAAACCCACTTATGAATTATCGGGTGCCGGGTGGGTATGGCCCATTGGGTGGGCGTAGCTGCGGTGGTAACAGCAGACTGGGTGGGACTAAAAAGTTCAATCAATTCCAACTTTGCAAGATCTTTTTTTTCCCGCAACGAGTTGAAATTGACTGATTGATTGAACCTTTTTTTTTTTGCACATGGCGGCAGAGGCCTAAAGCAAAAAGGTTTTATAAAACCCAGCTGAAGGCCTACAACTGGGGGGACAGCACACGTGCCCACAGAGAGGGCTCTGAGTGCCACCTCTGGCACCCGTGCCATAGGTTCGCCACCACTGATCTATGGGTTTCTAGGAAGGTTACTTGAGGAACCGTTTCACCCCAACAGGATTGGCCCACCTCACTCGTTTTTTCAGGAGGCAACTGGACTTCCTTGTTTTTCTTTGAAGACGTTTTGCTTCTCATCCAAGAAGCTTCTTCAACTCTGACTGGATGGTGGGGAATGGAAGGATTTATACTCCTTGCAGACAGCTGGCCACTTGGAGGCTTATCTGTGTCCTCAGGGTCACCTGAGTGGTGCAAATGGGTGTGGAGCCTCCTTGGGTACACGATGGTCCCGAGGACACAGATAAACCTCCAAGTGGCCTCAACGACCCTCTAAAAGAATGCAAATGACCAGCTGTCTGCAAGGAGTATAAATCTTTCCATTCCCCCACCATCCAGTCAGAGCTGAAGAAGCTTCTGGGATGAGAAGCGAAATGTCTTCAAAGAAAAAACAAGCCTCCTGAAAAAAAGCACCTTTGGGATAACTGTGATGACCTGGATGAACTGAGAATCTCCATGGACGTTAGCCAACCGCGGCGTGGGCCTGCTGCTTACCCAGAATCCCCATGTCGTATTTGCCATCTTTCTTATCCCTCTCTATCAGGTAGTCAAAAGTGTCATTGAAGTACTGGAAGAGCAGATTCTGTCTGTCAACCTCCAGGCCCAGGATGCGATTTAAGAACTTGGTGATGGAGCAGTCTGCAAGGAAAAAATAAACAGAGAAAAGGACATCATGCATTTAGTTCATCTTGGACACCAATTTCCTGACTCACAAAGATTTGCCCAAGGACCGGGTTGTGTAAATCTCAAGTCTGAGAAGTTTGTCCCTATCTCTTGACATACTCTGTGTTATGTGCGTATTAGCGTAGACCGGGGGTGGGGAACCTTGGCTCTTTTATGACTCGTGGACTTCAACTCCCAGAATTCCTGAGCCAGCCACGCTGAGGGGACAGGGAGAGGTTTCCATGCTGAGCCATGCTGGCTCAGGAATTCTGGGAGTTGAAGTCCACAAGTCATAAAAGAGCCAAGGTTGCCTACCCATGACCTCACCTGACTCATACGGCAGGCCGGGATAAACAAAGACGACAACCGCTGTGTGGAACAAAAGACAGGCGAGTAAACTGAGAAAAAGGGTGTGACTTACCTTTCTCCATGCTCATGAAGCCATATCGCATCTCCTTGCACGAGATTCCCACGGAGAGGAGGGATTGCTTCATTTCTGAAAATCCAAAATTCATTTGAACAAATGAAAAGCAGGTAATCGATAAGACTTATTAAATCAACTTCCATGTGGATTAACTATAAGACAGTGTTTAAAAACGGCCTCAAAAATCAAGCAAGGGTTTTTCAATAGAGCCTCAACCAGTTCAAGAATTCTGCAAGAAGCGGACCCCATTTGGTTTGGGGACATGTTCTTGATTAACCCTCGGAGTTTCTAATTAACCATTTAACCCCTGGAGTCCTGAATTGTGTCTAGTCCCCAACGTTCATGTACTTGTGTATAAAGAAAGAGGTTGACATGGGAAGAGATTTTTTTTGCTAATCGTTACAATAAACTTTTTTTTTTCTTTTGGCAATCAGAGCTTTTTGGCAGTAAAACCATTTTTCTTTACAAACAGAAACAAAATATTTATTTGGCTAGATATATTCTAGCAGGTAGTGGCCTCATATCTGCCATTTCAGACAAATGGCTGTCCAGTTTCTTCTTAAAAGCCTCCAGTGTTGGAACACCCACAACTTTTGGAGGGAAGCTGTTCCACTGGTTGATTGTTCTCACTATTCAGAAATTCCTTCCTTCCTTCCTTCCTTCCTTCTTCCTTCCTTCCTTCCTTCCTTCTTTCGGTCATGATTCCGACAGATGAAACTCTTCAAAGAACTTTGAGGCATTGTTTACCTTAAAGAATCTTTATTCGAGTAGCATAGCATCAGCACGTACATGGTCAAAGCCGAAATCTGAATTCCCCTCCCCTGAGCACATAGTATCAAAGCACAATTCCCTCCTCCAATTAACTGTCATAAATCACATTCTCCAATTAGTTTGAAATGCAGGCTTTCCCTCCAGTTTTTCATCCCGCCATTTCTTATCATCTCTTATTTAAAAAAAAAAACCTGGTTATCACACTAGTTACAATATGAAATGGTATAGGGTTTCCTGCCTGAGCAGAGGGTTGGACTAGATGACCTCCAAGGTACCTTCCAACTTTATTATTATTATTATTATTATTGTTGTTGTTGTTGTTGTTGTTGTTGTTATGTCTAACTAAACTCCCATGCACATTCTTTCTCCTTCCCCCCCGTATCATCTAGTTCTAACTCTAATTCTAAGAGTAAAACATAAGGAGGAAAATGGCTGCATCTCCATATGTTATCAAAACAAGAACATCCGATGTTAGCAGCGTTGACATCTTCCTTCCTTCCTTCCTTCCTTCCTTCCTTCCTTCCTTCCTTCCTTCCTTCCTTCCTTCCTTCCTTCCTTCCTTCCCTCCCTCCCTCCCTCATAAGAGAATAACACAGTTGGAAGGGACCTTGGAGGTCTTCTAGTCCAACCCCCTCCTCAGGCAGGAAACCCTATACCAGTGTTTCTCAACCTTGACAATTTTAAGGCATGTGGACTTCAACTCCCAGAATTCCACAGCCAGCAATGCTGGCTGTGGAATTCTGGGAGTTGAAGTCCACATGCCTTAAAATTGTCAAGGTTGAGAAACACTGCCCTATACCATTTCAGACAAATGGCTGTCCAGTCTCTTCTTAAAAACCTCCAGTGTTGGGAGCACCCACAACCTCTGGAGGGAAGCCGTTCCACTGATAAATTGTTCTAACTGTCAGGAAATTTCTCCTTAATTCTAAACTGGATCTCTCTTTGATAGGCTTCCATTGCAATGACCTCTGAACTCCTTCTCCAAGGTAAAATTTTGACTAGACGGTGACAATCTGCTGGATTTCGAACTGGGGACCGTCCAGAGGCTTTAGAGCCCACGTCCTTCCCCATACCACAAGATCAGCTCTGTCCTTTACTTTATGAACATTATATTCCACCCCATCCTTGCTTACCACTGAAAAAAGCCGCATCTCCTTCTTGATAACCCTTTGGCACGGGGACTTTGCTCTCAGTCTGCTGGAAAATGGTGCGCAGGACTTTATCGAGTGCTTTGATTCCATACTGGGGAGAGGCAGACAAAGGCATTAAAAAAATCACAGCCCTTACACAGCTAAGAGCATCTTGACTAGATGCAACTCACGTGAAGGAAATCAACCACTTCCACTGCTCAGCCTCCCCACGTTGTGGTGGGGAGTCCTTGGTGCTCTCTGAGCTTGGCTGTTGGCTTGCAGACATTGCATCACCCTGCTAGGGCAGGGCTTTTCAACCTTTTCACCCATTTTGTCACTTTTAGGATATGGCAACATCCGAGTACCACCCGTCGCTTAGCAAGGTGTCAAAAACTTGACCAAAAAAAAAAAAAAGTGATAAAGTACAGGTAGTCCTTGACTTACAACAGTTCGCTTAGTGACTGTTTGAAGTTACAATGGCACTGAAAAAAAGTGCCTCCCAAGCGACAGCCGAGCAAGACACCTGTCTGCCCGCCCGGCGGCGCTCTTCCTCCTGTCCGAGGTTTTCATTGTTGTCAGCATTTTTGTTGAGGATTGGCAGTGGGGGTGGGGTGGGGGGTGTTTGGTTTTTATTCCTCCCCGTCTGCTGCGTGGTTGCAGCAGGTTTTGGTCACTTCACATGACCCTGGGACACTGTGACCATCATAAATATGAATCAGTTGCCAAGCATCTGAATGTAAATCACAAGACCCTGGAGATGCTGCAACATTCCAGCTGATCGGCGCTTTTTCTGGGCTCAGCAGAAGCACCAGGATCAGCGCCGAGCTCCAGCTGGAGCCTGGCGCTGATCCTGGCGCTTCCGCTGAGCCCTGACAGCCCTGCAGCTCCAGCCATCTCTCGCTCAGACTTGTGTGGTGCTGCCACCAATTCAGCTCATTCCCCTCCCCCGCTACCACTTTTCTAGGATGGTCGCGTACCACTTGCCAGGTGCCCATGTACCACAGGTGGTACCCGTACCACTGGTTGAAAAGCCCTGCACTAGGGAACATCATCAGTATAACGGAATGTGGGGTTTGCTACCTACTAATTAATACAATGAACCCTGGAGTTAGGACCATAATGGAGTCCAAAATTTCTATTGCTAAGCGAGACAGTTCTTAAGCGGGTTTTAACCCATTTTACAACGTTTTTTGCCACAGGCGTTAAGTGAATCACTGCAGTTGTTAAACGAATCTGGTTTTCCCTTTGGCTTGGCTTGTCAGGTGGTTGCAAAAAGCGATCACGTGAGCCCGGGACACTGCGACCGTCATAAATATGAGCCAGTTGCCAAGCGTCTGAATTTGGATCATGTGACCGTGAGGATGCTGCAATGGTCATAAGTGTGAGGACCGGTTGTCAGTCACTTCTTTCAGTGCTGTTGTAACTCTGAATGGTCCCTAATTGAGCTGTTGTAAATCAAGGACTGTCTCCAGCGGCTTGCTCTGCCAATTTTGGTGGAGACGTGCAAGCTCCTCGACTTAGGACCATTTGCTTAGTGACTGTTCGAAGTTACAGCGGCATGGAAAAAAGTGATTTACTTGCAGCTGTTCCTTGCACTTATATGCAGCCTCCATATAAGTTCCTTGCACTTATATGCAGTCCCTTAATCAAAATTCGGGTGCTTGTCAAACAGAAATGCATTTATGACAACAGCAGCTTCCCAAGGTTACATAATGGCCCTTTCTGAATTTCCCAGCCAGCTTCCGACAAATAAAATCAAAGGGGGGGGGGACATGCCGGTTTCACTTAATAACCGCACGAATCACTTAACAACTGATTTAACTTAATGCAACTGTTCTGTCCCCAACAGCAACTTGGTCATAATTTGGAAGACTACCTGCAAATATATAAACAGGGCGCAAAGCCCCACCCTCCTTTCTAGCACCGATGACATTACAGGTGGTCCTTAAACTTACAACAATACATTCAGTGACCGTGCAAAGTTTCGTCGCTGAAAAAAGCGACATGGCAGTTTTCATACTTACGACCGTTGCAGCCTCCCCATGGTCACAGGATAAAAATTCGGATGCTTGGCAACTGACTCTATTTAGGAAGGTTGATCTGTCCCGGGTTCATGTGATCACCTTCTTACAAGCAAAGCCAGTTCATTCAACAACCAGGTTACTCACTTCGCAACTGCAGTGATGCCCTTAACAACTGCGGCAAGACAGGTTGCAAAACGGGGCCAAATCCACTTATCAAACGTTTTGCTTAGCCACACAGAAATGTGGGGCTCAATTGAGGTCGTAAGCTGAGGACCACCTGGTACTTTGTTGGGCAATGCAATGCAATGCCTGCAAGCCAACAGCCAAGCTCGGAGAGCAGCAAAGATCGCACATTTTAAAGTTTTAAACGCCTGTCCTCATGTAACCCGAAGGGAAAAAAAACAGCACTGGTTGTTATTTTCTACCTTGCGCATCTGCTTGAAATGCTATCCTTGAGGATTAAAAAAAAACAAAACCCACGCGCCAGATGCCATGAAAAAAACAAAGGCAAAATAATACGAATCCATAGCACAGTGGTGGCGAACCTGTGGCACAGGTGCCAGAGGCGGCACTCGGAGCCCTCTCTGTGGGCACACGTGCCGTTGCCCCAGCCTCGCCTCCCCCCGCGACCCCTCCTCTCCAGCAGCCCCCCTGGAGGAGAGTCGCCCCCGAGCGTGGCCCACGCGGAGCAGTGCAGCCAAGGACATGGCAGCCAGACAGCATAGACAACACTCCGTCCTCACACCCCATCATGCACAGTTGATGCTGCAGGGCGCAGGCAAAGGGCGTGACCACCATAGCGCTGCTGGGCTGCCTGGGCAATCTGCGGTGGGCCCTGGAGGCTGTGAGTGGCCCTGCGGGCAGGCGAGGCAAAGGATGGAGGGCAGAGTGGGGGCAGGGCAGGAGGTGGAGCAAGAGCGGGGCCAGTTTTTGGGCACTCGGTCTCTAAAAGGTTCGCCATCACTGCCATAGGCATCTTTTCTAACTTACAAATCTTACTGAAAGGCAGGGGGTTTTTTTGGGGGGGGGGAAAGTGCTTGCAGACTTAACCCCCACCTTATTCTCAAAGTTGTATTTGCTGAGGTCCCGGGATTCAGTCGCTCTTCGGTCACCGTGAGTTAAGGCACCCTGCGGAAAGGAAAAGGTCACACACATGAAAACTGGACACAACATCAGTCTGTATTTTGCGGTGGCTTATTCTACCTTTTGCTTAACACAATGAAGAGCCCAGCTTGACTTCGACTCTTGAGGTGCCTGGAGTAATTTTCTATTGGCAAAATCCTGGCTGATAAAATTATTTAAGGGCTAATCTCGCTTCTGCCCTGTTGGTTTCTTTTTTATGTAGTTAACTTTAATGTTAAAGTGGTTAACGTTCTAATTGTTTCACGTTGTGGCTTTATGTTGTTGTACGCCGTCCACGGCATGTAAATTTAATAAATAAAATAGTCATTGTGGTTAACTGACTGGAAATTATAATCAGATGAGAGTTATATGTTTGAAGAGAGTATTTTTTACAAGGTCAGGAGCTGGGGGCGGATAAAAAAAAGGGGGGGTTGCATCTCTCATATCCTACTCCTGAGCTGGACAGCAGGAGGCCAGTAACCTCACGTCCTTTCAATGTTTCAGACTACAACTCCCACAATTCCTTGCTGTGGTATTTGGAGTTGGTGCAACAAAAAACCCAAAATGCTCTGAAGCAAGTTTGGGAGAGTTTCTCCGTGTCATTTTCATTTCCATTGCCCATCATCTTGGTTTTTAAGTCTTTTAATCTCATTTTAATTAGGGTTTTTTTTCGCACTTTTAACGTTTCTGTTACATGGTAAGCCACCCAGAATCGCTGCATGAGTGAGACGGGTGGCACAGAAATTGAATAAATAAATATATTTCCCTTATTAAAAACTTTGACAAACCCCTGTAAAGTGGAATGGAACAACCCGCCGCAGACAATTCACTGTGGGGTAAATCAACGCGGTGAATGTTATCCGCCACTGTTTTCTTCAACGGCATTTCCATTGACAAAAATGGAAATCGTGTCCAAGAAACAGTGGCAGGTAAAACATTTATCACACTGAGTTATCCCGCATGGAATTGTCCACGGTGAATTGTCCGTGGGGAGTTGACATCGGCGAGTTGTCCTAGATCAGGGGTAGGCAACCTTGGCTCTTTTATGAGGCGTGGACTTCAAATCCCAGAATTCCTGAGCCAGCATGGCTCAGCTTGGAAACCTCTCCCTTTCCCCTCAGCACGGCTGGCTCAGGAATTCTGGGAGTTGAAGTCCACAAGTCATAAAAGAGCCATGTGCTAGATCCTCTGTAAAGTAGGCTGAAAATTATTCTCTCCAAAAGGGAAGGGAGCAGGAAGTTGAAAACAGTGACTTTTCTTAAGGTTTTTTTGGGCAGGGAAAGAGAGTAACTTACAAGGCTCTCCAGCCGTTTTGCCACGATAGACGCAAACCGCCGCTCGCCAGCCAGTTCAGAGATGAGAAAAATGTACTCAGGAGCAGAAACCTGGTTGGAACGGTGAGTGCGGCCTGGAAGGAAAAGACAGACGGTGAACGGACCCTCCCACGGCACAATCCAGCTGTCCCCAGAACTGTTTCTGTTAGGCATAATAGGAGGAAACTACAAGAAAGGTTGTATATATTTAATTTTGCATGCATTAACTACAGCAAGAATTGTATTTGCCCAATATTGGAAAAATGAAAACTTACCAACAGGAGAAGAACTAATTAAGAAAATTTTAGATTGCGCAGAAATGGACAGATTGACAATTAAAGATAAAAGAGAAAGAAGACTCAGTGTACTTGAGAACATGGGATAATTTTTACCAATGGCTAGAAAAACGAGTTAGAGAGAAAGGAACATGATATGTACTATGTAATATTGAATATATACTGGTAAGAAAAAGACTACTGAGCGATTAACTAATATATTATGATAATATAGAAATTAACTCTTATTGTTTTTTAAATACATGAACCCAGACAATATGCTGTTTGCTAAATATTAAGAATGTTATTTAAAAAAAAATTCCAACCCTAATTCAGGAGACACTATACCATTTCAGACAGGTGGCTGTCCAGTCTTTTCTTAAAAATCTCCAGTGATGGAGCACCTACAACCTCTAGAGGCAGGTTGTTCCACTGATTAATTGTTCTCACTGTCAGGAAGTTTCTCCTTAGTTCTAGGTTGCTTCTCTCCTTGATTAGTTTCCATCCGTTGCTTCTTGTCCTGCCTCCAGGTGCTTTGGAGAATAGCTTGACTCCCTCTTCTTTGGGGCAGCCACTCAAATACTGGAATACTATCATGTCACCCATAGACCTTCTTTTCATTCAGCTAGATTTCCTACTTCTGGATATTCCTACAGGAGACACCAAAGCTGGCTTGGTTGTCTTACCAAACTGCTGTATTGCTCGGTCAGCACTCCAGGGCAATTCCAGCGTCATGTGGACCCGACGTTTCTGATTCTTTACCCGTCTGTCTGCCTGGAGAGAAATCCCTGAGCTAGAGGCTTCCGAGATTATTGCAACGAGCTGAGAGAGAGAGAGAGAAAGAGAGAGAGAGAGAGAGAGAGAGAACAGAGTCAATTTTGTCAGCTGGATTTTTGGCACATGGTACCGTGTTTTCCCCAAAGTAAGGCCTAGCTTGACACCAAGGACTCCACATTTTATTTCAATCCTGAGCTACAAATATTCTCCTCTATCAGCTTCTAACGATTGTTAAGTGAGGACTGCCTGCACTTAGCCTGCCTGAGCAGTCAACCAGTGCTTCCTTGATCTTGCCCAGCCAAGGCAACTCAAGACAAAAACACAGAGGGGTCCGATGCATATCGTGACTCTGGCAAGGTGGGGCCCCTCCCTCCCCCATTCCTGGCCACCCACGGCGCTCACTTTGTCTCCATTCATGAAACGCTCCTTCTCCTTGAGGTTCACGTGGTCGATCGACAGCCCCTGCTCGGCTCGCGATTCAAAGACCACAGTGCCGCCGGGCCTCCGCATGACTCGTCCCTTCCGCCCGGTCATCTGTCCAAGAGGGGAAAAGGGGCACATTGGAAGAGACAAAATGGGCCACAGCGGTGACCCTGTTTCGTAGCTTGGGGGACGTATGTGAGGAGTGGCTGCTCGGCTGCTATTTTACGGCACCGGTAATTTTGCTTGGGGTTTCTATTTTGTTTTTTCATGGTTAGCCACCCAAAGTCACATACTTCAGATGGGTGATCATATCTAATTAATTAATTAAATCTATCTATCTTTGAGACAAGCGTAGCTGCCCAGAATCACCTTGTAGGATGGATAGATAGATAGATAGATAGATAGATAGATAGATAGATAGATAGATAGATAGATAGATAGATAGATAGATAGATAGATAGATAGATAGATAGATAGATAGATAGAAGATGGATGGATGGATGGATGGATAGAGATAGATATGGATGGATGGCTAGATAGACAGGTAGATAACTAGATAGATTATGGATGGATAGAGATAGAGATAGATATGGATGGATGGATGGATGGTGGGTGGGTGGGTGG